CTCAATTTTTAGAAATCAATAAATTATTATTTGCTCCCTATTTCATTCTTTTATTTGCAAATACAAAATATGTGTGTACAAATTTCTGGCACGTCTAGTGGAACATCCTTTGCCTCTCATCTCTTTCTCTTACATCAAATTTTCACCGTAAGAATTTATGGTTTCCGACAAGATTTAGACAAAGAGCAAGAGCACCACTATGGACACTGCAATCATAGAGAACAATATCAATATCACCACAAAAGGTGGTAAGAAGGTTGCAACTTCGTCAAGTGGTATCAACATCTCTGCAAGTCCAATGATGCGGAGTATAGCCAAAGCATCCGTTCCCGTCAAAAGGCAACCCAATGTGGTGAGAGTTAACTCCGTCAAATCCATCAAAGCAATAAATCAAACACATAACACTTTTGCCTCTTTGGGGGGCAAGGGAAAGGTTTATGCAAACTTAGAGGTACTTTCAACTTATCTCAGAGAAATTGTTGTCAAATCCAAGTTCAAGGTTAGTCCACCCAAGGCCAAAGATTTTTTCTGACTCCATCACTATGCCAGTAATGATGATGAGTATTATCTCGTACGAAGAACAATTGATGAGTATGGCCAATGCAACTAAAAGATTACAACAGACTCTCAAGGAGCAAGATCTGAAAACTACCTCGCTGACAAAAAAGTTAAAATTACGTGACGATAATGCTGAGTCAAGCAAAGGCCAAATTCCTTTTGATTCCATGCTAGAGATCACTCCAATTGACAATCAAAATGACATGTCCACCAACCCAATAATTAAAGCTGCCTCTGTCGCCTCACTTTCTGTCCAATAACTTAAAGACATAATAATGAATTGCATAAAAGAATAATATAGTGGCGTCCTTTAAAGTGCTTGCATGTACTCAAAGCCTTATACAGAAAGAATTGACAACTTAAAAATGCCAACCGGGTATCAACCACCAAAGCTTCAACAATTTGACAGAAAAGGCAATCCCAAGCAACATGTCGCACACTACATGGAAACTTACGGCAATACTGGTACAAACGGAGATCTCCTTGTCAAACAATTCGTCTGTTCCCTCAAAGGAAATGCATTTGATTGGTACACAGACCTCAAAGCTGGGAGTATTGACAGTTGGAAGCGGATAGAGCTAGAATTTCTCAACCATTTCTACTGTACTCGCAAAATAGTCAGCATTTTAGAGCTTACTAATACCAAACAAATGAGGAACAAACTTGTGGTAGACTACATAAATCGTTGGCGAGCTCTAAGTCTTGACTGCAAAGATCATTGGTATAAATTTTTTGCAGTTGAAATGTGTATGTAGGGCATGCGTTTGGAGCTTCTATACATCCTATAAGGGATTAAGCCTCACACTTTTAAAGAGCTCATCACACGAGCACATGATATGGAGCTTAGCATAACGTACAAGTCATGGTACAAGAGAAGATGTTCTGGATATACTCGACAGCCTTCTTGAAGACAAGGGAAGTGAGTCCGAAGAAGAAGATAAAATATTTCCTAGCTCGGACGACGAAGTAGCTTCATCTTTCATTACAAGCATCATCTCCAGAGACTTGCATCAAGAAACGCACCATGCTACTACAATAACTTCAAACGAAAGTGCTAAGTCACAGGGGGCATGATTCTTGCAAAATTGAATAATAATTAAAAATCAAGTGCTCCCCGATACGAACATAAATTGTCGATGACACTTATTGACACGAGTATAAACTGTTTGCCTGAAACAAAACAAAACAAAGAAAAAAAGAAAAAAACTCCTTGACACGAGTATAAATTGTTTGCAAAAAAAATAAAATTACGACACTCTTTGACACGAGTATAAACTGCTTGCAAGAAAGAAAAAATAAAATCAAAAACTCCTTGATATGAGTATAAACAGTCTAAAGGAAAAATATATATATATATATCCTTGACATGAATATAAACTGCCTCCAAAAAAAAATAATAAATTCAATCCCTTTGCGACCTTCTTGGTTCCCTTGCCACTAAAGAGAGAGATATTAGGGGTAAATAAAAAAAAGAAGTAGAAAACTGGTGACGCGAAATTTTATACAACTAAAAATAATAAAAAAAATATTGAACAAAGACTCCTTGACATGAGTATAAACTGTTTACAAAAAAAAAAAAAAAAAATTACGGGAGAGCTACAAATATGGTAAAGCATGCTCATTGCATGATATCAAAGGTGTTCGCCATTTTAATCAACTTGGCTTGTTGTCAAGATATTGCTGTCGCTCGTCACAAGATATCAAAAGTTACCATCGCAATTTATCAACTTGGCTTGCTCTCAAGATATTGTTGTCACTTATCATGCGATGTTTAAAAGTGCATGTCGCACCCTTTAGACTTGGCACGTCACCAAAGTGTAGTTGAAAAAGAAATTTTGGTCCACCACCGAATTATAGCAATAAAGGAAATTTTTCCCATTACCAGAGTATCATTGCAAAGGAAAAGATTTTCGGTTTGCCATCAAGGTGTCACTGAAAAAAATAAAAAATTTTGACTTGCCGCCAAGGAGTCACTGAATAATTTTGGTTCATCACCAGAGTTGTAGCTGCAAAGGAAAAGATTTTTGGTTCGCCGTCAAGGTGTCTCTAAAATAAATAAATAAATTGACTTGCTTTAAAGGCGTCGCTGAATAATCCGGTTCGTCGTCGAGGTGTGGCTGGAAGATATAAATAAATTATGCTCGCCTTCGAGGTGTCGCTGAAAAATAATAATAATAATTCTGCTCGCCATCGAGATATTGCTGAGAGAGAAATTTGGATTTTTGTCGACGTATTGTTGAAAGAAGAAAAAAAAAATTGCTTTCCGCCAAGGTATTGCTGACCAAAAAAAAAAAAAAAAAAAGAAAAAAAAAAGCTACTAGCCTCCGAGATTCGGCTAAAAAAAAATTTCTGCTCACTGTTGAAGTGTTGCTGAAGAAAATTTTGATTTTTCGTCGAAATATTGCTGAAAAAAAAAAAGAAATTTTGTTCGCCCCCACGGTGTTGCCAAAGGAGAAATTTGGCCCCATTTGCTCCAGTAAATCGTGTTGGAGTTCATATAATTTAAGTTGATGAAACTCAATATATTTGAATTTGTTTAGGGCAAGTTTTAAATATGGCACTATACAATGTCTATTTTCTAATTAAATTTTTTCTAGGCAACAATTATAGTCACACGGGGCCTATGACGGAGTAATCTACTTCTATGGTGGTAGTAATTTCACCTACAATCAAATTCACATTCTTGCATTCATGAAAAAAGAAAAAGAAAAATCACATCCTTGCCATCACCTTGTCACAATCCTCCTATATATATATTTTCTTTATTATTATTATTATTATTTCATATAGAGTAAGAGTAAGATTCAATTAGTATTCAAAAGATTTGCATGATATTTAATTTACAGAAATGTCGGTTATGTCATTCAAGAAATCAAAGGGATTCGTTCTTTCATCTAGCTTTTAAAGTATTGTTACCATTGAAGACATGACCGGTGTTATGAATCAATAAATGAAATTCATTTTAAAAAAAATCATCACATCAGAAAAGAGTGGAATGGAGTTTTTTTGAAATATCAAAAGAAAAAAAAAAAAAAAATCCATTTTGTCATATTTATGAAAAAAATATATATTATAATTATTAAGAACTCAATGGAACTTCCCCCTCCAAACATTCTTGCATTGAGCATTCAGGAAAAAAGAAAAGGAAAAATCACATCCTTGCCACCACCTTGTCACAGCCCTCCTATTCTTTCTCTTTTCTATTATTATTATTATTATTAATTTATTATTATTATTCTTTTTCTTATTTTAACAAAATTTTATTATTCCATATAGTATATTATAATAATAATATTAATATTCCATATAGTAACAGAATAGTGATTAAAAATAATCTACCAATCAGGACAATAGTATTTGGTGATTAAAGCTGTAAAATGTGTCGAGTTTTATATTGAGTATAAATTTAGAAGAAGTCTAAAAGGAGAGGTCATATAATTAGGAGAAATGAAAGTGAGAAGAATAAAAAGGATGAAAGAGTCCGAATAAGAGGATTAAAAAGTTAGTAGTTGTTGGCTAGAAATCTCTCACACATGCAGATTTTATTTACATAGAACTAATATATATTGTAAACATTGATGAACAACCAGATCAATAGAACAGCGGCAGCATAACCTGAAACTAGAAACATTGATCAACCACCGTATTGATGATATTCGTACTCCCAGATCAAACCTAATAGACCGACTAAATAGAGTGACAAAATACTAGAGGAGATTTAATAAAAATATGAGTAATGATGGTGAGTTCAACAGTCAGATATATTTGACTAAATTTACGTTAGTGAAGTTAGTGAAGAATGACGTGATGATATAATTTCCGGCTTACATAAAAAAGTCATATACATCTGACTTTTAAACTAAAAATAAATAAATAGAGTAAGAGTAAATTTCAGTTAGAATCGAAACGATTTGCATGATATTTAATTTACAAAATTATGGATTATATCATCCAAAAAATCGGAAGAATTTGTTCTTTAATCTAACTTTGAAAGTATCCATACTATTAAAAACTTGAGCAATGTTATGAATCGAACTTCATTGTTTTAAAAAAATATATATATTATGATTATTAAAAACTCAACCGGACCTTTCCCCTCCGGCCGAATTCTTATGCTTTCATGTCTACAACTTTTCAACACTTAAATCCACTTTGATAAATTTTATCCTGATAATTGGATTATCGTATCGTATATTAACATGACAAACTCGTTCCAGAATTGGATGGGAGTTCGGAAAGTGTGTCTTGTTTGGCAAGTTGGATTTTGGTTTAACGCGTCGCCTTTCTGGAAAGAACTAGAAAAACAACCTAGAAATACTTGGAGGAGGGGTATATTAGGAAACTAGAACTCCAAGAAGGACTTTGACCCAACTAACCCATCAATCATTATAAATAAACGCAAGGCGTCACAGTTTTTGGATTCAATTCAAGAACGCGTAAGACTTGAGAGTAATCTTCTCTCTGACTTGGTAAAACCCTAACCCTAGTTTTCTGAATTTGAAGGAAAAGAAGGATAATATATGGGTTCTGAAGATAGCTGGAACAAGATGGACGACGGCACTAGTTTTCAACCATCTGAGCCGGCTCCATGCGCCAACGGCTGTGGCTTCTTCGGCAACCCAGCGACTATGAACCTCTGCTCCAAGTGTTTCAGAGACCTTCGCGTCAAGGAAGAGCAGGCGGCTTCGGCTATAGCCGCCATGGACAAACTGGTGAATAATCAGAATCAGACGGTGTTTTCAGGAGAGGTCCGTGTGGGGCCATCTTCGTCGACCAAATCATCATCATCAGCACCGTTGGTTGTGCCGACTGTTGGCGTTGATCATCAGACGGAGGCCCCGAAGGTGCCGTCGAACAGGTGCTGGAGTTGCAGGAAGAAGGTAGGGGTGTTGGGGTTCGCGTGCAAGTGCGGGAGCACGTTCTGTGGGAACCACAGGTACCCAGAAAAGCACGAATGCCCCTTCGATTATAAGGGTGCGGGACGAGACGCCATTGCACAGGCTAATCCGGTGGTGAAGGCTGATAAGGTGCAAAGGATCTGATTTCTTAATCAAACAATCGGTTTAGATTTAAATTGTTTTTAGCTTTTTTCTTTCTTTTTTTCTTTCTTTCTTGTATCTTGGATATTAATTTTGGTTGGGTTGGTTGAGAAAGCATTGAGGGTCGATTCCATAATAAAGTGGAACAGCCATTAATTGTTTGTAACTTCTGTTGTCTTACCCTTCTTGGTAAGGTTTCATTGTTTCAAGTAAAATTGCATGTTCAAAAAACATGAATCGACTCTATGAATGAATTTCGGTCTTATAATGTTTAATAAATCTAAAATGTAACAAGAGAACTCATCTAAATTGCATGTTCAAAAAAATGGATCAACTCTGTGAATGAATTTTGGTTTTATAATGTTTAATAAATATAAAATGTAACAAGAGAACTCATCACCATGAGAGGCATAGAGACATATCACCATGTCTTTGCTCCAACCTATTATATGTACGTATATATTTTTGCTATATATATGTTCGGTTCTATTACAAAAGTTTTAAACTACTTGGTCATCCTTCATAAATAATATTTAATAAATTTCATAAATAAAGTAAGGATTGAGTTAATGATAAAAACTTAAAAATTTATTTTTCTTTTATCATACCGGTTTTCAACCGAACAAAAAGAGGGTTTTTTTCATTCTCTTCCATTTAACCGAACAAAAAGAAGGAAACGCTTAATCTCTCTTTTTTTTGAAAAAGAAAAAAAAAAAAAAAGAAGTTACATATCTCCCCATTCTTCAAGTACACCATATATTTTTCCTTTTCTAATTTTTGTTTCATTTTTCAAAAATTTTTTTTTTTTTTTGGGATACATTTGTGATTGTATTTAATTAAAATATTATTAATCAACATTTTGATTCTTATATTTGTCAATTATACTCTTCCTTGTTTCTTCCTCCTCCTTGCCTTTATTAAACTTAAACACTACACATATTTTTCTTCTTCTCCCTTTTAACTTAACACTATACTTACTCATATGAGAAAGACCTGAGTTACATAAAGCAATAGTGGGAATAAGAGCGAATTTGAGTGCGGGAGCGTAAAAACGGCAAAATAGAAGACGATCAGAACGTAAGGGCAACACTCATTAAAAAGAGGGCGACACTCATTAAAAATAATTTTGTGATTTGGACAACGACATTATAAATTACTAATTTAATAAGGAAGGCGACATTCACACTCCACTTTTCTATACTTACACTCCACTTGTCTTTTTCTTTTAAATAAAATGACAAAAAGTCCATAAACTCATTAATGCACTATCTTGTATTTAAAAATACCATAACTATTCTTTATACAATAAATTATATATATATTTTTTACCTTATTTATCTTCTTTAGTACTTTTTTTTTTTTAATCCAATCAAAATAAATGATTTATTTAGGAGAGATAGGTGTGGGGGGACTTGGTCAAAAGAAATAATTTATTCAAACACAAATAACTAATATTTTTAGTCTCAAAAGATAATTTTTCAACAAAGATAACTCTCTCTTTTTTTCTTTTTTTTTTCTTCTTTTTTTTTTTTTGGGGGGGGGGGGAGGGGGGGGGGGGGGGGGGGTTCTTTTTGTTATTGTGAAATCAGATAATTTATTTATATTTTGGGTTGGGGTCCGTCAAAGAGACTAAAAATATTAAAGATGGGAGAGAGTCCGATCATATCTAGAACCTAGGGTGGTCGTGTAATTTAAAAATAAATAACTATTCACTTGTGAAGTTAGGGTTAGAATAATCATTTTCATTTTAAATTGGCACGCAATTGTAGAAAAGTGGAGTGCGAATATCGTCTCCCAAAATTAGTCCATATCATCCCACTCATGATTTGTTTGAAGAAAGCATATTTTCTCTAGTAATCTTCAATGTCACTTGAGAGCATTTATGGTGAAAGTTTCTTGCATAAGCTTTTTTAATTTTATGCTATGTTTGGTTGGAGGGAAGGGTTGAGGAGGGATAGATGTATGAAGCTTTTCATGTTTGGTTGGAGGGAAGGGTTGAGAGGGAGGAAGCATGTCTCATTTCTTCATATTTTTCTATCTGTCCAATTTTGAGGGGAAGGGAGAAGAGAGAAAAAGAATAACTACCTACAAATATGCAATTTTCAATTTTAACATTTTCAAAAAAACTTAAATGAATCTACCTTTTATTATTTTATATAGTGAGATTATATTGGTAAAATATATATAAAAATTTTCCTTTCTTTCCAACCAAATAAAAAAAGAGGATCATCTCATCCATCATTTCTATCATCCATTCCATTCAACCAAACAAAAAATCAGGGAAACACATTCCCTTTCCTAAGGATTCCTCATCCATTCCTCTCTTTATCTCTTCCATCCATTTTTCTCTCCCTCCAACCAAACAAAGCATTAGTATAAAATTTGACCATAAATGCTCCCAAGTGACATTGAAGATTACAAGAGAAAATCAGTTTTCTTCAAACAAATCATGAGTGGGATAATATGGACTCATTTTATGATTAAGATTACGTGTGTGTGTGTGTTTTTGATAAATATATTATACTGTAATACATTTCCATAATTGAAATAGGAATATAGATGTTAATGGTAGGGTTGAATAGAAAAGATAGAGTAAGGTACGAAAGAGAATTTAGAATTAATAATTTAATAACGTCACCTGGCTCAGCTCTCGTTAAAAAAGAAAGAGTAGTTTGTAGTAATATTAGAAAGTGAGGCAGACCAAAACTAACATAAAATCAAATAATTAAAAATAATTTTAGAATATTAAATATTACAGGCAACATAGTGTATAATAGAATATGCTCTAGATCAGACAACAGAATAGTCCGCTCCATTAACTTAGGAAAAAACAAAGAAGGCGATGAGGATTTATTTAAAAAACTTTCAGACTCTACAAATTACGTGCTATTAATAGCTCGTTTGGGATTGCTGTTAAAATATTAAAAGAGTTTTTGCTGTTATAAAAGTGCTAGTAAATCTGTTATAAAAGTGCTATCAATAATAGAACTGTTATAAAATTGTTGTCAGTAAAACGCATTTAAGACCACTTTGTAAATTAAAACTCCAAACTCAATGTAATTATAGCTTTCCAAAGATTAATCAGAATACCATTTGTCCTGTTCTAGAAGAAAAAAATACATAAATAAATAAAAATAGGAGTGGGAACTACATGAAGAAGCTACTGTAATCTGGCCAATAAAATAACACTATATAAATAAAGTATACTATAAAGAGTTTAATGGACTGAATGTTTTCTTTTTAATTAATTGATAATTAGTTTACATGAGGTGGTGTATATATATACATTTAGCTATTGACTACGTTATAGGAAGAGTTCCTAATATCTCTCAACTATAAAACTGAATTTTAACTGCATGATCTGTTACTCCAAAGGAGGACAATCTGTTGGAGTTGGTTCTGATTTGGCATGATATGGTGGAGAGACTGTGAATGGTGGAGAATCAGATTTTGGTGGAGGAGATTATCTGATATGCCCCCACAAGACAGTGCTCCTGTTGGAGATACCTGTAATACCCGTAATTTTAGAAAGGATAGTCCTGGCATTTATTTTAATTATGTATGTGCGTTTTTACTAAATTTATTGTTTAAATTGTATTTTGTTTGTTTAAATAAATTGTTTGCTGGATTAATTGCATTACTTGAATTAAATTGTTTTAAATATTTGGTTAATAAATTATTTACTTGATTATTTGCATTTCGTGAATTAATTGTTTAAATAAAACTGTTTTAGGTTAATTGGTTATTTAATTGTGTTTCTTAAGTTTTCTTAATTACGTGCTTATGTAAAATTAACTGTTTTATAATATACGGTTTAGTTTATTTAGCTGACTATTTGGCCGACACAGGTTTTAATTATGTTTTATGGGCCGGTTAGGATTTAGTTAGGGCTTGAATTAATTTAGGGTTTGGTATAACTCTATAAATATATGGGTATATATCTGCCTAGGGTTTTTGATAAACCCTACTCACCACCTTCAATAACAGAGTCGTACAGAGAGTTGTGAGGGCAGAGAAACAGAGAGGGAGCTTATGTGGTTTACTGAGAGAAACTTTAGGAGATTAAGAGAGGGATTCAAGGAGGAATTCTGGTCCTAACTAGGAGTGGCAGAGGTTAATAACAACAAGTTGACGTTGCCGGAATTTATAGAGACGGTGAATTATAGTTTCAAATCTGAAACTGCAGGCAAGTCTTGTTCTTCTCTATCTCTTTAATCTGTGTTCTGTGCATGTTTAGGAAGACTCCAGGGATTAATCAAAGATTAAAATAGATGAAACGAATGCATGATTCATCTAATATGCAGGTTTAAATCAGTTTTTAGTTCCATTGAATTAAACTGTTTAGTGTTGATTTAAAGTGCTAACTAAAATCTTGTTGCGGATTGTTTTTAAACCTGGAGTTAAATTCTTATTGTGAATATATATTTATGTTTGAGGATTGGTCTGAGACATTAAACGAACCCTTGAATACGTAATAAACACAGTATTGAATTTTCACCAAATTAATCTGTTGTGGGCTGCTTAAAGTTTCAGACTAAGGTTCTGTGATCGTTGTTTCAAAACTTACGTTCCATGCATGTTATCATTGAATATCAGTGGTTTAATATGTACCTAGGACTGAGATTGAACCTAGAATAAGAATTAAAACATACTACAGAGGCTCTGGTAATCACCGGAATTGGAGAAGATAAAGCTGGAACGGACAACGGCTGCTAGGGGAAAAGAGAGCAGGCTCTCAAATACCTTAGAGCCGGCTCCAAACTTATTTGGAGGCGGCTCCAAGTGTCTTAGAGCCAGCTCTAAGTGGTTTAGAGCCGGCTCTAAAAGAAAAATAGAGCAGGCTCCAAATTTTAGAGCCTGCTCAATCTTAAAATGCACAGAATTGAAGTTTTAGGAACTTTTGGCTGAAATTGGTTTTTCTAAAATTATTTAAAGGCTACTGGATGTTGTAATTTAATGTTTAAGACTTGTAAAAATGTTTGGAAGCATGATTACAAGTAGGAATTGAGGACGGGATTAATCTAAGATTAAACAGTGAACCCGTGGGTGGATGATTTGAAAATTAATTTCTGTTGTTTACTATTTTTGGAACTTTATTTCTCTGCATGACTTGGATTTATAAATCATGTTTTGCAGCTGTGTTATAAGCATACTGTGGTATTGTTATATGTATGTTTAGTTGGGATCAACTGGTGTTAAAATCTGTTTTACATTGCATCAGTTATGGTACTGTTTGGAGAGGTAGACTGTGTAACTCTACTTTATCAATTTAACGGACTGTAATTGGGATT